AAGAAAAGAGAGAAAAAAAAAAAAAGAAAAAAGAGAGAGAAGTGTGTCCTTAGAAAGCGACGCGTGCAGCAGCGCCGGTAATTTATCGAAGGAATTAGCGTCACGCGGTAAACTCGATACTCGTATTCGACCCACGGGGAAAATCGTTTTCCTTCCCGCTTTTTGTCCGACCTAACGACACTTCTTTCGCAATTACCACGCAATTACGATCGAGTCCAGTTACTATAATCGAATGAAACTCGCGTGATTGCGCGTAGGAGGTGAATCACGACGTGCAACAAGGGGACACGGGACGATCACGTTGATCAGCGTGAATTCGATTGTTCTTACGGTGTTGATGCAACCAGTCGAAACAAATCGAAACAAATCAGGGAAAGAATTCGAAGAACGGTAGAGAAGAGAAGAGAGTGAGAGAGAAAATCAGACGTAAAAACGTAAGCAGCGTTGTTTTAAACAAACAACAGGAGAAACGTTCTCCGCGTTGCGCAATCGTTAGCTTGTTGGAAAAATTTAATTAGTCCCCCACGGTTTCCCTAATGAGAACCATCTTCGCGACACGGGCAAAAAAGCACGGTCTATTGTCTTTCGTTGAATGGATAAGATAAAGAGGGAGGAAGAGGGAGAGAAAGAGAGGGATGGAGGGATCGATGAATATGCATATTTAAACGGCAGAACGTGGCTAATACGAACGTTCGATTCACGACGATACCATTAACGCGAGGCTGTGATCGGAAACAGCCCGAGCATCGGGACAAATCAAGGCAATCGGAACTGCCCGGAGTCGTCCGAGCAATTTGCTTCAACTGGGATCACCGTCGAGCCGTCCCCCGGCCAGATTCTGATGAAATTCGGACGTCTGGCCTCGGAATTCAGAACCGAGAACCGGTTCGAAACGAGTCAGCGGACGTTGAACGATTTTTTCGACGCTTCATTGATCCCCCGTTAATTATTCATATTCGACTTGTGCAACGTAAACAGTTGCGTAACAGAATGCTACAGATTCGCCCCGTTCAACGACACTGAGAAGACGAATAACTCAGTTGCGAAGAATAATTCCGGATGAAATAGGTAAACCACAGCAATCCATCCGTGCAACCGGTTGCACGGATATTGCCACGGTTTGTCGCAACCGAAACGCCGCAAACAGATTAAGCAAATGACGAAACAAGCGAACAATCGTCGTCGTCGTCGTCGTCGTTGTTCGGGACTCTTACAATTTTATCTCCGGTGAAACACTTCATCTGGTTCATCCGCGACGCGATGGCGCTGTAGTGATGCGCGTGCACCTCCATGATCACCAAACAGGCTCCCTCGAACACACACTGCTCCGAAACGATCCGTCCCTCCAACGCTCGCGTATTCACACCAGCAACGAT